CAAGCAATGTTCCACTTCTTCTCTCTCAAACAGGTTAAGTTTCTTCCCTTCAATACAATGATGCCTTTCCAACCCCAGAGCCTCCTTTAGTTTCTGAGCCCTACTGTTAGCCTTCCAGCTCCACCAACTCCTGACTTGGAAAGTTCCAAGAACCCACCAGGGGGAGAATGCTATCCATCACTAACTGGCTTGGGAGGCTGCCTTAATACCATGGGGTAGTGGAGGGGGGAGCTAGTCAATAAAACTAGCTGTCTACTTTGGGACCCTGTCTTCTTCAGATGGTGCATGGAAAACCACAAAGCTAATGCTAACTGCCAACTAATCGTCCTCCTGGCCAACACAAAAAAGGGATGCACCACTGAACCCTGCCCCATCCCCTTTGGAAGGCCTGTTGAGAGAGTCTAAGGCCAAAGGGGGATACATAGTATACAGACAAGTCTACTGAAATGAAAATGCCAGTGGAGAATACTGGTCTTTTCTCCAAATCTGGAAATGCATAGACTTCTCCTCACCTAGGGTGTGGGATGGTGTTCCCACAGAAGGACAAGGTGGGTTCTATATCAGGAACTAATAGGGAGAGCAGATATGGGATCTCCTGGAAACTAAAAACAACAAAGCCACAACAATGGGGGAAGGGCGCACGATTTTGGGGTAGGATGGTGCCAAAAGCACTACTGGAGGAGATATAACATGCTAACAATCCTCTAGCTGTTCATCACCCCAGCTAATGCCTCCATTGCTGTGGGCAAAGTCAACTTTAACCCACAGGGGCCCCTACTCATGCAAATTTGGTCCTGATGGTCCTTTAATAAAAATGCTGCAGCTTGCAAACTTCAGCCATGCCTCACATGTGTTCAGGGATGACCCAGCCATAGGAAAGAATCGCTGCATTTATCTTAGGTCTAGCCAAATAACATATACCAGAGTGTAGGAATATCCAACTTGACCCAGACCAAGCAGTCTAGCAATGAGTCCTGCCTAGTGGGTCCCCCAGTCCAGATACTGGGAGAAGTGGAATAAACAGGAAAACTAACAAATTGTACGCAGTTGATGTCCAAAGCCAGGCCACCAAATGGTACCAACTTTGCATGCCAGAATGGTACTTACACTTGTTATCCCAGAGGGACATGTGTTACTCTTCCTTATTCCAGACCTGGATAGAGAGCACTTCTACGGATCACCTTCATACCTCCATTCCCAGGCCCTAGATCTTTGTTTTACGATGGTCTTAGGCGACCCCTCTCACAGGTTGAGTATCTCTGGTCTGAAGAAAGACAGTAGGGCCCTGCTATCAGACTCTCCTTTTTTCACTTGGAGAATTCAATCTTTACAGGTGAGCAGGAGTTCATAAGGAAGCTGATCTCCAAAGACAAAATACAAAAGGCTTCCGCTTCCACACCTAGGCACAAAGAACTTGGTAAAGCCTATAATGGGTGGAGATCTTATACACTCCCCATACACAAAAAAGCCAGACTTTTCTCTTTTAGAAATGGAGGAGAGAAGGCCAGTATTACTAAAACTCCATTTTTCTCAGCTCAGATTTAAAGAAAAAACTGTCTCCATAACAGAGAACAGAAGCAACCCGGCGTCCAGTTTCCTTCCACTGCCTGTTAAGTTTCAAACCTGGACAAATGGCTGAGGTGCCTATTTAACATATCAAAGCTGGACATGGATGCCAGACTTCGCCAGCATCTCTCAGTTCCTTCCTGTTATAGGGTATGGCTGGCATACCCCACCCTCTGCCCCCACTCTCCAGCCCAGGGGCCGCACTGATCTTTCCCCAGAGGCTCTTCCCAATATAATCTGGACATTTTGGTTGCCCTTCTCCTCTTGGGCCTTTGGCCTCCTGGCTGCTGCACCTGGTTCCCCTCTCTCCCTTCCCTCCTCCCCACATGGCCCAGCTCAGCCTAGTCTTGTCCACTCTGGACTGTCCCAGATGTCCCTGTCTGTGACTATGCTCTCCCACATATCTATAATAAACTTTCTCCTCCACCGTACCTAGGAGCAGTCATATCATTTCCTTTTTTTTCATTTACCCAGGAATGGACCAGATAATCCACCTCAGAGCTAATGTGTCTATGTTCTAGTCTATGGTTGGTAACTAAACCAGTGGGTGACAGAATAGACTAAAAAGTATGCATTATTATGCAAAGTAAACACAGCCTGAAAGACTTGATTATCACCACGATTCACTTGCCAACTAATTCTTCACATTTGGGCTCTAACTTCCAGGAGACAGCTTTCCTTACCTATTAGTATGTTAATAGGACTGCAGGATGTCCTTGGGGCCTGCCAAACTGCAGAAAAGTAAGAACAAACCTCTCTAAGGAAGAACAAAAGACATTAAGAGCAGAAGTTTTCCACCCGCTGCCCTAGAAAAATGGGACCTGAGGCTCCCTAGGAAAACGGGGAATGCTTTTCTGTGAGACATGAGGTCTCCACCCCATTTTCCCAAGCCTAGAGTTGAATAAAACTACCACTCCCAAGAACCTGTCTTCTGGTCTGTAAAGGCACTTAAAATAAGCCTACAACTCAACATGTGCTCAAACTACAAATCAATTCTTTTTCTTTTATGAATTCCTGTTTCCTGACTTCTTTTGAAATACAGGCAAACTAAGATGAAGAGCTGGGAAAGCTCCTATGTTCACAAAAATAGAAACCTGGTTATTCTCATTCGTCTTCACAGAAGAAATTATTCTCTTGCTTTGGTTGTTGAAAATAGAAACTCTTGTTTTTCTTTCCAGGAGGAGGGGGGAGGGGGAAGGAGGAGAGAAGGGGAGAGAGAGAGAGAGAGAGAGAGAGAGAGAGAGAGAGAGAGAGAGAGAGAGAGTTGGGAGGTGGAGGTGGGCACAAGTATCCCAGCAACATTGACATTAAACCCTCTTAGAAAAGTCTACACCAGTGGTTCTCAATAGAAAAAGCTATCTTGCCCTCATAAGCCATTTGGATTATTACAAGTAAAGGTGCAGCAGTGCCATCTAGTGGACAGATGCCAGAGATGCTGTTCAATACTACAGGAGCAGTCCTACAATTTTCCAGCCCAAAAATTTGAGTGCCACAGTTGAGAAATCATGGTCTAAGAAAAGTGAGATTTTTTTTGAGTTTATAAAGTTTTATTATAGGACTATAGATGGGAGCATAAAAGAAAAAAGGCAGAGCTACTAAACAGCAGAAGCCAATAACGGAAAATGGGGTGCCACTGAACTGTTAGTGTAGGAGCAGTACTTTCATGTTAGGAAGTGGAGCAGGGGCTTCAGCGAAAGAGGAAGAAAGCCCAGAGTAGCAGGGAAAGCATGCCCAGGCTTCTGCGCAGTTTCCAAAAAAGACAGAAAGGAAAAACTACTTTTTGAGGTAGAACTCAGAAGTGGGCACCGGAATGCTCTGTAAGCAGCTTCTGCAAACGGGACTTTTTAGTACTCCCTTGTATTACACAGTATTCTTTTATTTCTGGAGAGACCCCAAGCCGATGCACTTGTTGTTCGGTATAAAAGAACTTGCTCGAGATTGATTCCCGACTACTTTGCTGTGAATAGCACAGCTCACACAGTAATGCAGCTTGACATAAAGTTTGGGAAGCACATAAGCGTCAAAGACGCTTGCTTCCGATATGTCCCTGACAGCAGCGGCCTCCACTATGTTCCGAATGACGAACTTCTTAATGGCCTTGGGCACGAATGGGCTGCACGTGGCCGCAGCCTTTTTTTGGTCATCTTGGAGCAAAGACCCGAAAGCTAGTAGTACACACCTTTAATCCCAGCACTTGGGAGGCAGAGGCAGGTGGATCTCTGTGAGTTTGAGGCCAGGCTGGTCTACAGAGCGAGTTCCAGGACAGCCAGAGCTACACAGAGAGACCCCTGTCTCGAAAAAACAAACCAAAAAACTAGAAAAGAAATGGAAGTCAAGAGGTCTCTGTGATGATGCCCTAAGTCATCCATAACTGTCCATTCTCTCTCACAAAGCCCCACCAGCCCAGGAGAACTGGCCCTACCCTTTCAGCTGGCTTCTTCTGGCTAAAATGTTCCTATCATGTTTGCCCTCTGGCTTACAAGTTCAGCTTCATTTGTATTTACTAACTACTAACTTAGGCATTGACTCTAGAGGATGCCCTCACCAACTTCTCGGTAGATCCAGCTTTTTACCAATGGCTTGTTTTTCTAAAAAGATAAACTTTCATTTCCCCCTTTCTCCTCTTTGTCTACTTAAACAAAACTCAGTGTGAAATAATTTCCTGGGAGTTATCCCTTTTCTTCCAAATAGGATAACATGCTCTTAACTGACGTGTTTTTCTTATATACGGGAAAGGCAATGGAGACCATCACGGAGTAAGAAAAGGCACACTGTCAAGAAAGATGTCAGCAAGGGCCTCTTCTATTCTGAAAAGTAAACACAGCCCAACTTGTGGACAGACTGAGTGAGACAAGAGCATCACCAGAAGATGCTTTCACTTTGCATCCCATTACTCCACCGACTGTCTTTGTCTTGAGGGCTGTGCTTTTCCTACAGAGCCAGAGACCATCTTTGTAGGCTTTGGCCCAATGCTGAGATACACGGGCTCTCCTTAAGGCATTTCTGACCGTCATAGAAGCACAGGTTGCCTTGCTGGACTATCAGGGTTGTGGGGAACCCTGATGTTGTTGTGACTTGACTAAGCAGTGGAATCCCATGCCATTACCAGTTAGTCCCAGGGAGCTGAAGATAACCCAAGATCACCAAGAGATTCCACGGGGTTCCTAATCCAGTCATTGTTTCTCAAAGTTATTGGAAAGTTAATGAAAGAAGACTCTGGGAATCCTACCCTCCATCAGAATTCTTTGTGAAGATTTCACAAAACAAACCTGTTAATACTACAGCTCTCTGCATCTAATGGCCTTCAAAATTAATTGGCAAACTGAAGAACTTAGAAATGCAGTGTAGACACTGAGCAGTGTTATCTTATACAACCATCTCTGAAGATAAATATATACAATATAAATATGGCAAGGAGTAGGCAGAGTCAGTTATAAAAGTTTAATGAAATTAAAATTTATTTGTAAACAAGTGATTAATGGCTACATTTCAGAGTCCCACTCACATCTATTTATTTTCCTTTGTGTGAGATACAGTCTTATATCTATGTAGCCCAGAATGTCTCCTAACTCCTGCCTTGGCCTCTCTAGTACTGGGATCCCAAGTATGAACCATGTTTCGCTTCTTTCTAAATGTACAGAGATCATGAGCATTAAGAATCACTGGAATAACATTACATTGCACTATTTCCATTCTAGCTCTCATCTGTTATATTTCATTAAGAATTAGCAAAATAAAATTGAATCTGTATGGTTTATGACCCCATACTTCTTTTCTAGGTAACTAGGCAATTTCATTAAATAATACACTAAACAGCTCTGACTGTTTTCAACTTCTTAAGTAACTAACACATGTAAGCTGTTGAATTACAAGTCAGAATGGTCAACAGTTAAAGCCTGTTCTCTAAGGAAACAGACAATTCTTAATTCACAGCCAAAGATGACTTCCAGCAAGCAAAGATATAAGTACAGAGCTCAGGGGTCTCCTGAATTGCTGGTTTCTGTATAAACAACCACCTCTCAGTGATGCTGCTTCCAATTAATCAGATTTAAACATCTGAGGAGAATGTTAAAGATATGGGGGCAATCCTCTTACTAGAAACAGCAGCCAATGGAAAGTTCTGTGTTGTAGGAACTAGCAAAGGATTTCACAGTTTACCTTTCTTTAAGGCTCAACATTCTTGGTCATTCTTGGTTTTGGGTGTCCACCAGGCCTTGCCCTGCCCATGAAGCTGCCAGAAACAATGAGTATTGTCTTTGTTACTAAGCAGGGGAGGGGTGGGTTATCACAAGACGACATATGCTCAGTGGAGCAGAAAAGACCGTATTTCCTGGGTTAAAACAGGTCAGACAGTCTAACTTTCTAAAAGCCAAACCAAAGCTACTGTGCCCTAATTTTCCTAAACAACTTAAAACACAAACATAATTAACATGGAAAGTTAATCAAATAATTCCATAACCATAGGCCACTGTTGGGACTAAACCCAGCAAGCAGTCCTAATATGAGCATACTGACTTCAGCCTTTAGCTTTCAACTTCCTTAAATAAAAATTAGAGAAAGAAAACTCCTTACTCATATAAAAAATCAGTAACTAGGTAAACATGTATTTTTCCATGAAGTGCCTGTGTTCTAAATAATCCAGGCTAGCTGGGATGTAAACATAAACAGCAGCCAGAAATTATTTTGGTCAAGGCCAATTCATTTCAATGAGTCCACAATCAATGTTAGAGAAAACAAACTGATAGTAGCAATATATTCATGATGTAATTTCCAAGGATCAGGTCTAACTAGCATTGGTAATAAATTCATTTTCCTACATTAATAAACTGCAAAGAGGAAAAGTTGAGAAACATGGACTCAAAAAGCAAAGCAATGCTTGACAACACTAATTCATTGTTAATACTGGAAATACATTAATCACTTGAAAGACATTAGTCATTTCATTAAACATCACCATTCATATATATACAAGTTTAAGTGTGCCCTCTTATCCTTATCTCAGTGTTTTTTATTTTCTTTTAACAACATCATTTTGCTCTCTTCAGGGGAGATTTGGAAACTTAAGACAATTCTGAATGGATAATTTTGAGGGAGGGTACTACTGATAGGTCAGAAATGCCCTTCAACAGCTCAGTGCTCAGGGCAGCACATAATAATACCTCCTGGGGCTGAGATGGCTCCGCAATCAAGGAGAACCTAAGTTCAAGACACAGTGTCCAGACCAGGCTGCTCTCAACTGTATGTGACTCTAGCTCCAGGTGATCTAATGCCTTCTTCTGACCTCAGTGGACACAAGTAGAAGCCTGCAGGCATACACACATAATTAAAAAGAAACATTTAAAGAAAACGATTACCTCCTATGTAGAATTAGTCCCTTTTGTGTGGCATTTGCACAACCTGGACTTAATTTCCAAGACAAGAATGTGGAGGGATGTGAAAAAAACCTACAAATTCCCCACAATTACAAACTGGCCAACTAGAATTAACCCCGAACTACATGCAAACATTCAAATCCAAACTCTGGACAAGTTGAGATCCACAGAAATAAAGTGCAGTGTATGGATGAACCTTACCAAAAATGAAAAGTTCAAACAGGATAGAGAACACTCTGAGCTATTCGAAAGTGCTCGAAGTTCTTGTCCCGTTTCTGCAAGGCATAATTTTAGTATGTTAAAACTTTAGAAAACACAGGGGGTGCTTTTGTGCATATTAGTCATGCCCAAAGTTCTTCAGGCATATAATCCCACACTGGAGTGTCAACATCACCCTAGTATATATGTTTGACATGAGATTTTTATAAACACAACAGGCCTTTTGGTCTGGTGAGGGAACTAGAGTACTCACAGGCTCGGTTCCAGGTCCTTTAAGTATAGGTGCGGAGACTTTTGAGAGTTTTGCTGGCAAGGACCTCTGAACCAGAATCCATCTTCACAGTAATTTGCAGAGAGCTTTGCTTCAAGAATGATCTTTAGGCTATCTGTTACCATTTCAGTTTGAATCAGATACCAAATAACTTTCAGGGACCTAAAACATCAAGGGCAGAAAAATAGTAACCGTTAACAACAGAAATTGAAAATTATGTGCAAATCATACCAAGAGCAATCTGCAGATTCAATGCAATCCCCATAAAATCCCAGCACAATTCTTCACAGATCTTGAAAGAACAATACTCAACTTTATATGGAAAATCAAAAAACCCAGGATAGCCAAGACAACTCTGTACAATAAATGAACTTCTGGAGGCATCACCATCCCTGACTTCAAGCTCTATTATAGAGCTATAGTCCTGAAAACAGCTTGGTATTGGCACAAAAACAGACAGGCAGACCAATGGAATCTAATCGAAGACCCTGATATTAACCCACACACCTACAAATACCTGATTTTTGACAAAGAAGCTAAAATTGTACAATGGAAAAAGGAAAGCATCTTCAACAAATGGTGCTGCCATAACAGGATGATGACATGTAGAAGATTGCAGATAGATCCATATCTATTGCTAAGCACAAAACTTAAGTCCAAATGGATCAAAAACTTTGACACAAATCCAGCCACACTGAACCTCTTAGAAGAGAAAGTAGGAAGTACCCTTGAAAACACAGGCACATGTAGGAGGAAGTCTGATGCCGCCATTAAACATGTGACTTATTAGAGGCGCATACAGATGAGGTAATAAAAGGGCGGTTTACCACACCCACTTTAGGCAGGACTAAAGACGTATACAGCTGGACATAAAGACGTATACGTACGTAGGCGGAACTACGTCACTAGCCAGGCCCACTTTTGGGCATGGCTAGGGGGCGTTACGGGGGGGGGGAAGGTATAAAAGACAGCACACAGGAAATCCCGGTCTTTTTTCCTGGAGTTCGGCTTCCGGTCCGATAGCTGAAAACTGCTTGGCTCCTCTGGGTTTGGTATCTTGTGAGTAATTTCTACATTAAATACTTAGCTTTACTTTTAGTAATTGTGTGTCGCGTATCGTTACAGCGTCCATTGAAGCCTACAGGCACAGGAAACCACTTCCTGAACATAACACCAGTAGCACAGACACTGAGATCGACAATTAATAAATGGGACCTCCTGAAACTGAGAAGCTTCGGCAAGGCAAAGGACACACTTAACACGACAAAATGGCAGCCCACAGAATGGGAAAAGATATTCAACAACTCCACATCTGACAGGGTGCTGATTTCCAAAATATAAAAAAATACTCAAGAAGCAAGTCTCTGAAACACCAAATGATCCAATTAAAAAACGGGGTACAGATCTAAATAGAAAATTCTCAACAGAGGAATCTCAAATGGCTGAAAGGCACTTAAGGAATTGCTCAACATTCTTAGCCATCAGGGAAATGCAAATCTAAACAGCTCTGAGATACCATCTTACTCCTGTCAGAATGGCTAAAATCAAAAACACCAATGACATTTTATGCTGGAGAGGATGTGGAGAAAGAGGAACACTCCTCCACTGCTGGTAGGAGTGTAAACTCTTACAGTCACTTTGGAAATCAGTATAGAGATTACTCAGGAAAATGGGAATCAGTCTACCTCAAGACCCAGCAATTCTACCCTTAGGCATATACCCATAGGATGCACATTCATACAACAAGGACATCTGTTCCACTATGTTCATAGCAGCATTATTTGTAACAGCCAGAACCTGGAAACAACCTAGGTGCCCCTCAACTGAAGAATGGATAAAGAAAATGTGGTACATTTACACAATGGACCACCCCTGAGCAGTAAAAAACAATGACATCTTGAAATTCACAGGCAAATGGATGCCTCTAGAAGAAACCATCCTGAGTGAGGTAACCCAGACAAAGAAAGACAAACATAGCATGTAGTCACGCATACATGGATATTAGACACCGAGCAAAGGATAACCAGCCTACAATCCACAACCCCAGAGAAGCTAGGAAACAAGGAGGACCCTAAAATAGGTATATATGGATCCAGTAGGAAGGAGAAAAGGACACGATCTCCTGAGCAAACTGGGAGCGTGGGGGAGGGGGAGGAAAGTAGAAGAAAGGAGAAGGGGAGGAGAAAATGAGGGATCAGGAAGGTCGAGTTGGGGGAAGAACAGAGAAGGAGAGCAAGGAAAGAGAGACCTTAATAGAGGAAGCCATGGTGAGCTTAATGAGAAACCTGGCACTAGGGAAATTCTCAGGAATTCACAATGATGACCCCAACTAAGAATCTAAGCAATAGTGGAGAGGCTACCTTAAATGCCCTTCCCCTATAATGAGATTGATGACTATCTTAAATGCCATCCTAGCACCTTCATCCAGCCACTGATGGAAGCAGAAGCAGAGATTCACAGCTGAGCACTGAGCTAAACTCCTGGAATCCAGTTGCAGAGATGGAGGAGTGATGAACAAAGGGGTCAAGACCACGCTGGGGAAACCCACAGAAACAGATGACCTGAACAAGGGGGAGCTCACGGACCCCAGACTGACAGCTGGGAAACCAGCATATGATGGGCCCAGACTCCCTGAACATGGGTGTCAGTTGGGGGGCCTGGGCAGTCTATGGGGCCACCAGCAGTGGAACCTGTATTTATTCCTAGTGGACTTTTGGGGCCCATCCCCTATGGATGGATACTCTCTCAGCCTAGAAACATGTGGGGGGGGCTTGGTTTTGTCCCAAATGATGTGACAGACTTTGATGATTCCCCTTGGGAGGCCTCACCCTCTCTGAGGAGTGGATGGGGTGGGATGGGGAGATGGTGGGGGAGATGTGAGGATGGGATGGACAGGAAACTGGGATTGATGTGTAAAATAAGATTGTTTTTCATTTAAATTAAAAAAGAACGAAAAGTATGTGCAAATCTCCAGGTAGACCACACTCAGTTCATATGCAGCTGGATGCTCTATGAGCAAGGTCTCCTTCTCTTCCCCTTTCTCACTAACCACTCTAAGAAGCCCCTCTCTAACATCCCTTTAGGAGTTTTTAACCTGCGGCAGAAAATGAAAGGCAATTCACTTCCCTCTTCCCGCCATTTCCCTATCACATATTTTCACTTGCTCACTTAACCTACTTGCATTCCAAGTCTAAGTAATGGTGGCCGGCTGGCTCCAGAGAACGATGCAGGTGTGGAAAGACACAGAGTACTGTGCCCTTGCTGCTTTCGGTGAATTCCAAAATTCTGACTCTAAAACACCCGAAGAAAAAGAGAGAAACAATGGAAAGGTTTTTATTTCCAAACTAGTGAAGAACAGCCAGAGTGAGGGGCGAACCTGGGTTCACGGGAGGCCCCCATGCAGCCTGTGTGCACTTACTTGTGTGAGACACGCACCACAGGACCGCTTTGCTCACTAGCAGTTTCTGATTGTTCTACACACACCAGCAAAACCTTTGAATAGAAGGGAAATTAGTAGAGCGACAGTAAAGAAAGGGGGAGATATCGCAACAGTGCTTTTCAGGGACTCACACGTAAAGATTATCCAAATTAAGGTGTGCACATCCAAGCATTTCTCAAGATCTCTCAGTAAAAAACAAACGAGGAAGAGTTACAGTAATGACTTCCCAGCAGCTTCGGCCCGGGGACTTTTAATGCCGACTGTCGCACGGATCCCAGTCACCCCATTATTTTGGAAGTTCCTCTTCTCTCGCCCTGGGGTAGGGCACAGAAGGAAAATTATGTAAGAAACTGAGGCGTGGAAAGGCTCAAACATGTGTTCTGGGCACAACTGTGCTTCCGATGCCTACCCTGGAGAAGGCAGTGGGTAGCCATTCCCCTGACAGTCAGAATATCAACATCGCAGAGGCGGAGTCGTTCCAGCTTCTTCAGCCTTGGTTTCTAGAAATTCTGTCTCCTCATCTCCTAAAAGGACAGAAGACACAGCACTGGGAACCGGCCGATCGATACCCCACCCCTTCCTTGCTAGGCAGTACCTCCGCCCAGACCTAACGGGTCTCCCCGGCCCATGGTAGCGCGTGACAGTGCGGATGGGGGCCTTGTCCTCTCAGACAGGCCACGCTCCACTGTTGCTAATGCTACACAGAGTCGCCCCACTTAACGAGACTGACCTTCCTACTGACTCTCGGCAATACTGTTTCACGGGCGCAACCATCTTGGATACGCCCCCTTACGTCAAGACACTGCGTGAGTTCATGACCCCCAACCTGCCCGTTTGGCCCACAAACCGGAAGTCCCGCCCCGCGGCCTCGCTCTCGGTGCTCCGGCCGACTCTGGAGCCGGATTTCCACCGTGGTTCCACCGGTATTCCAATGACGGGGCAGAGACCACAACCAGGACCTAACTTGCTCACGCCCTCGCCCGCCGGCAGCGCCGCACTCTCATACTCGAACATAGGGACACGCCCAGGTTAACTCTCGGTTCCGTCCACGTCACCAGCCCGCCCATCCGTAGCCACGCCTTCACGGCGCAATGGAACCTAGGCCACGCCTCTTCCCCTGGGCTGTACCACCTGCCTCCCCTTCCAGGGGGAGCCGTTTCCACGGTACCCAAGCCTGGCTGGTTTAAGTCACGTCACCCCCCAGGATTCTCTTTGAGGGCCCTCTTCCTGCGCTTGCGTATTTGTCTGTGCTACATTCTGGACACCTCTTTAAGTTTGTCACCCTGTACAAATGACTCCTTTGATTTTGGTAACATTCGTTAACTTTCATCTTCCAGAAATGACTTGAAGCAGCCTAGTAAAATGTACACAACATTCTACAAGAGAAATATTTTAAGGAATTGGAGGGAAAATTCTTTGAGGGAGAATAACTAGGGTATCCAATTGCAAGCCATCAGACATAAAACAGGTCCTGAAGGTGGACAGTAGGTGAGGTTCTAAGATTCTAGAAGGCCACAGAACAGAGGAAATGACAATTATTTTAAGATTTTACAATATTCATAAAAGCCAATCTTGATTTGGGTTTTGAAAAGCATACTTCTTAACTCTTTCCCTGAGGGAAATATCTGATTCCTTGGTGGGGACTAGGAGCTAGACCGATTCCCTGATAGGCAGAAAGACAGGAAAAGGGACCACGACTAGATAATAATGATGGTGGCTTTTTCCTTACCCTCCTGACTACAGACAAAAGACTGGCAGGTTAAAACAATGGCCCGAAGGTGAATGTCTGTGAGTTGGGGCCAACCTAGTCTACTTAGTGTGCTCCAGGCCAGCCAAGACTATAGGGAGAGACCCTGTCTCCAGGGGGTAAAAAGGACCCTTCCAGTCCTACAAGATAAGGCCAAACAAGAACATGCTTGCCCCAGACTTGTGGACCTATCAGCCTCCCTGCCTTTGTTCAAATGGACCATCCCTAATTTGGGGGAGGAAGACCCCCTCAAAAGACCCTTAAAAATTCCAGCCTCCAAACAGACACTGGGCTTCAGCTTTCCAAGTCTTTTGCTCTGTGTGCTTCTCTCTCTCTCTCTCTCTCTCTCTCTCTCTCTCTCTCTCTCTCTCTCTCTCTCTCTCTCTCTCCCTCCCTCCCCTCCCTCCCTCCCTCATTTTGAATGACTCAATACAAATCTCAGATTTTCAGGAAAAGCTGGTCTGTTGAGACCTATCTGCTTTCTTAAAGTCTTCATTTAGTTGTGACATTTCAAAAGAGTGATTCCATTTTGCTATGGCATTGCTCCTGGTGCCTGATGGGGGTTCTACATTCAAAACAGTGGGCCTCCACAAACCTTGTTCAACACAGCTGAGCAACAATGGAAACAGATGCACATATAGGACAAAATGCCAGTTAAGTCTTGCTTTTTTAAAAAAGATTTATTTATTATGTATACAATGTTCTACCTGCTTATATGCCTACACACCAGAAGAGGGCACCAGATCTCATTCTAGATGGTTGTGAACCACCATGTGGTTGCTGGCAATTGAACTCAGGACCTCTGGAAGAGCAGCCAGTGCTCTTAAGCTCTGAGCCATCTCTCCAGTCCCCTAAATTTTTTGGTTTTCCAAGACAGGGTTTCTCTTTGTAGCTATGTAGACCAGGTTGTCCTTGAACTCACAGAGATCTGTCTTCATCTGCCTTCCAAGTGCTGGGAATAAAAGGCGTGCGCCACCCCCCATCCTCCACCCCCCTTAAGTCTTGCTTTTACTAGATGGAATTCATTATAACATCTCCATTCCCAAGAGAAGACACAAGTTCATTGAAGAAATTGTCCTTTAAATTCTTGTAAAGCTGGACATGGTGGCCCATATCTTTAGTTCCCGCACTTGGGAGGCCAGCCTCCTGTCTATATAGTGAGATCCAGGACAGCCAGGGCTACATAGAGAGACCTTGCATTTATTTGTTTTGTTGTTTTTGAAACAGGATTTCTTTGTATAGCCCTAACTGTTCTGGAACTAGCTCTGTAGATCGGACTGGTTTCAAACTCATAGGGATATGCCTGCCTCAGCCTCTCAAGTGCTGGGACTAAAGGCATGCACCACTACTGCCTGGCTGAGAACTTGGTTTTAAAAATCCTACCTTAGAAAAGTTGTCAGAATTTTATTTACTTGGTTTCTCTGAATTAATTTTTATTTCCAAGCAGTAGTGATTAACTTTCTCTGACTAACAAAAATGTTAACCTGTGAAAAAAATAAGGCAAAGTTCATCACGATTATAGTTATTTATTAACTTACAAAATTTGATGAGCTTTTATTACCATCCTCGTATTTGACTTCCTCACCTTAAAATGAGCATGGGACCAGACTCTGGGTAGGCCCCACACCCAGTAGTGATTATCCAAAACAAAATGGATTCCATGTGTTTGGTTTTTGTTTTGTTTGTTTTGATTTTCATTTTTGTTTGAGGTTTTTGGAGAGATAAAGAGAGAGACATACACACCACACACAGAGAGAGACAGAGAAGAGAGAGAGAGGAAAGGAGGGAGGGAAGGAGAGAGAAGCATAAAGTTGGATGGTTAGGGAAGTGAGGAGAATCTGGGAGGAATTGGGGGTGAAGAAAGAATATGATAAAAAAAATTGGATAACCAGGTGGTGGTGGTGAATGCCTTTAATTCCAGCACTCAAGAGGCAGAGGCAGGCAGATCTGTGAGTTTGAGGACAGCTTGATTTGCTTAGCAAGTTCCAGGTCAGCCAGCGCTACATAGTGAGACCTTGTCTCAAAAAGAAAAGAAAGAGAAAATGGCTAAATCAAAATAGAATATTTTGCAAAATGGACAGAAATATCTTGGTTCCCCATGTGTCTTAATTTAAAGAGAATAAAATCATTCAGTAGTGACAATGAAACAGATTTTAAAGGGACACAAGTCCTCCTTACCTTTTGGATTATTGTGGGTAAATGGAACCTTCCTAACCACATGTACTTTTACAATATTAGTGAGTTTTAAAAGCATCTTATGCTGAGTGGTGGTGGCACACACCTTTCATCTCAGCACCCAGGAGGCAGAGGCAGTTGAACCTCTTTGAGTTCTACATAGCAAGTAGACTGGAGAGGTGACTTGCAGTTAGGAGTGTTCTTGCAGAGCACCAGATCTGATTACTTAGAATTGCCTGTAATTCCAGATCCAAGGGAACTCTAATTTGTTCTCCGTGGGCACTTGCTCTCAGGTGCATACACCCACACACAGACACATGCAGCAAACATCGTTATACATAAAAGAAATAATTCCAAGAGTGCTATAGGACAAACTATCAATGCTAAAGCTAAAGTTGAAATCACAGTTTAAGAGTTTAAATAATGTTCCAGGTGTGGTGGCACTTTAATCCCAGCACTCAGGAAGCAGAGGCAAGTGATCTCTCTGAGTTCAAGACCAGCCTGGTCTACACAGTGGGTTCCAAGACAGCTAGGGCTAGGACAAAAAAACAGCATCCTGCGGATTCAGAAGAACAACAGACACATTTCCATTTTGTGTCATCTCATATTTTATTTACTTCTGAGCAGGAGATCAATAGTTACATACCCAGAAATTGCTGTGGTACAAAAAAACCATGGAGAGATCAATGTATCTTTCCTGTCTCAGGATATTGGTTGTCCCTTTAAAAGCTTCCAGCAACAATAAACTAAAACTTTCCTTGATATTATCTATACTCTAAACATTTGGAACTAAATTGTGATATGCCATGATTGAAATTCTTTTACTGGTCATCATTATAACAGTGACTAAGAAGTTATTGAAACTGCCAAGTTAAACAGATAAGAATCCTTTGGAAATTTGCTGATTAAAATTCATATATCAATCTGGATCAGGTGGTACAGGCCTGGTATCTTAGCTACTTGGGAGATCCAATTTGTTTTAAAAGATTTATTTATTTATCATGTATATACTGTCCAGCCTGCATGTATGCCTGCAGGCCAGAAGAGGGCACCAGATCTAATTTTAGATGGTGTTGAGATACCATGTGATTGCTGGGAATTAAACTCAAGACCTCTTAACCTCTGATTCATCTTTCCAGCCCAGGAAGATCAAAGTTTAAGGACTGCCTGACTACAGAGCAAGTTCGGAGTCAGTCTGGGTAACTTAATGAGACCCATTTCGAAATATGAAATTAAGAGAGTATTGGGTATGTAAATGGCAGAGCATTTGCCTAGCATGTATGAGTTCCTGTGTTTGATCCCAGCACTGCAAAAATAGATAGATAGATAGACAGACAGACAGACAGAGATTCTCAAGAGAAGGTGAGGTGACACTCAGGTAAAGGTAACTGCTGCCAAATCCAATGACTTAAGTTTGATCCCTGGAGCCTGTGCATAGTGGAAGAAGACAACAGTTAACTCCTAAAAGTTGTTCTCTGACCTACATATGCACCCCATGGCATATACACATGTGTATACATGCACACGAATTAGGTAAATAAATGTAACAATAGAATAATTGTAACTGAAATGAACACCAAATCTGTGCAAAGTTTTGAAAACTGCAAAAGATATATTTAGAAGCAAGAACCTTGGTATGTAATTCTGCTTCTCTTGTATTTTATTGAGATCTTTATCAAGCTACTTAATAACAAGTTTGTTTTTAACACTTTCACTGTGACAAGTAACTTGTGGCCCTTCACATTATTGGTAGTATCTCCTATTTGACATTTGTGCTTTTGTCTTTTTATTTGTGTGAAAGGACCTATAGAAGTCTATAATATAAATGGCTCCATTTTGGATTGCTGTAGCTGGGTATTTCTTTGAACTGCCAGCTCCCAAATAGTGATATGGAGACTTCTTATTAATTATGAAAGCTTGATCTTAGTTTAGGCTTGTTCCCAAGCTACGTCATGGCACGTGTGTCATTACCTCTCCTCAGTACTGTACATCTGACTTCCTCCTTGTCTCTATTGCTAATCCATCATGTCTGGGGTTCTTCCCAGAGTTCCTAGCTCTTCCTGTAAATCTCACCTATCTT